AAAATCTGATCTTGAAGAAGTCAACTCTGAAGAAAGTCAGCCATTAGTGATCCAGACCATGAAGCTTTAGAAGCCAAGAAGATGACTCTAAAGAGATCATCCTCTGAAGAGTGGTGTTTGAAACAAGTCAACCTTTAAAGCATCTTCTCTTCAATTGAGACAACTCTGACAGGCTCAGATACTTTTTTCTCACATGAAGACTTAAGGAAAAATATTTTTTATGTTGTTTGAGCTTCAACAGATAATTCATCTTGCATAAAGATGCTTTCTTGATGTGTCTAATCAAGTAAAAATCTAGCCCAACCTTTTGGTGAAAGTCTTCAACGCATCTTTTCTTCCTCTATATATAAGAAGCAGGATACCTGGAAAAAAAGGTGAATATAACACACTGCATAACAAGACTCTGAACCTTGACAGTTCAAAGAGAAGTTACTTTGTCAAAAATAACCTAGACTTAAAACCTCTTAACACTTTGTATTATAAGTTCTTAAGTCTTAGAGTCTTCCTAAGTTGTATTCTATCTACACCTATGATTGTATATCAAGTGTAGTTGTTACCCAAATCTTTTAACAATTTATTATAGAGTCAAATGTCTCTTGCTTTAGTGGTTGAGCATTTGAAGTCTATTGCATGTATGCTTGAGCATAGAAGTCTCTTACTTGAGGGTTTGAGCATTAAAAGTCTTTTGCTTGTGTTCTTGAGCATACAAGTCTCTTACTTGTGGGTTTGAGCATTGGAAGCCTCTAACTTGGTGCTTGAGCATTTGTAATCAGTTCGGTTATACTGGAAATCCCTTGGAAGCGCAAGGGGAATGGACTACTCTCAAGTTGTGAGAGGAACCAAGATAACTGCTTGTATCTTTGATTTTACTTTCCTTGCTTCTGTACTCATCACTCTGCTGCTATCAACTTTGCAACTCTGAGTCAGATTCTGTTTCAGAATCTAATAAAGACTTTCAAAAGTTGGCCTAGTATTTTCATAGTCAGACTCTAAACTAAGTGTTTAGAATCTGATAGAGATTCATCATAAGTAGAAGGAGAAAAGGATTATAAGAAAAAAGTCAGCACAATTCAACCCCCACTTCTTGTATTTTTCTAACCTTCATATTTTTCCTCATATCGATACTTTTTTAATTTCTCTAAGGTGTCAGTGACCTTGAATTCCTTCTTCGAGGTCTGGATTTGTTTGTGTTCCTAAGTTTTTTTTCCTTATCCACATACTTTTGTAGATGTCCTTTATAGATTTGTCTTTTGACATATATCTCTAGTCTCTAATAGTCACCAGTGGAATGAACATGAATATGATGGTACTCACACTAAGCCTTTCTCTGTGCCAAGTTTTCTCTCCCATTTTTTCTGAGGTAAGTTGATGAATTTGAAGACGCTGGCATCATAAAAGATCTTATTAGGCTTCTCCTTTGATGGAGTGAAATCTGAGAAGTATTATCTCCTTTTGTCCTTTCCTTGATCGTTTTTCCTCTACTTCCACCATAATCATTATAAGGAGACCACATATAGTCACCTCACTTTGGTGTAACTATTTCATCCATGGTTATGTATCATTATGTTCTTTCTTTGAGCTCTTCAAGTGTTTGAGACGGGCATCATGCTAGTGAGTGAGAAAATGAGCTTTGTTGCATACCTATTATCCGGATGTGAAATGCTACATATAAATTTAAGTTTTTTATTTGAGATGTCTTGTCGTTGAAATGATCCATGAAAGAGCTAAAATTCTAATTATAATTTTGCTTGAAATTAATGATACACGTTGAACTTTGTGTTATTCGACTAACGGATCCATGAGATAAATACCGCAATTAATTATTTCAATGACTAGGTGGAATTTTGTAGGAGGTGAGAGAACCATAAACATACACCCCTATTTATATTGCACGAGAAGAGTATCAACTTTAGAGCATCAGATGCTCGTTGGGATTTCATTATAACATTAATGAAGTTAAGTGGTCTTTTAGGTCTATTTGGCCATCATATTCCACTATTGTTAGAAATTAGAACTGTCTGGATATTGACTCTCTGATTTCGTATGTGATCATGAGTTTGGTTATGTCCTTTTTGTTCTATTTCACTTTGCTTTGCCTAGGGATGAAACTTTGCTTCATGAGTCCAACCGAGCAATGTTGTCACGAGAGTCGTTCTTCTGAGGTGTGTTGCTCTAACATTTTCTATTCTTCTCGATCAACTCCACTTTCTCCTTGAGTCAATTGAATTGAACTTCTATCATGTCAATAGTGTTCTTTGACGTATGGTCGTCAAAATTGTAATGTATCTGTTGTGATGGATGGGATATACTTTGCCCTCTGCGAGCATGCATCTAAGATGGTTATTCCTTACGTTCAACTAAGGTGATCATTCCTTGTGTTTGGGCTTATCATTTGATGAATTGTGGTTTTGATGGCTAGGCTCACCTTACAAGCATTTAGGTGGATCTTGATTTAAAATTACCTCCATGACAATGGATTATAAGGGTTTGAGAAATCTTTTATTAGATCCCACAATGGACGCTAATGTTTCTATTTGAACTTATGAGACCACCCAAGAAAAATGACACAATCTTTATATTACCATTCGTACTGTTGCAATCTCTTCATGTTCTTCTAGTACCACTTCTTCTCTAGATGAGGGGCAAGTTGTACTTACAAAAGATACTCCAAGACTAAAAACTAAGTGACTAGATTAATTATGTAATCATATTTTGGAACGTGTCTCTATTTATATAATGGAATGACTTTAATATGATCCATGAAGTTGACATTTCCACTAAGATGATATATCTAGAATCATCAATGGATAAATACGAGTTTGATGTCATAATTAAATATACAATTGACCGTGAAATATATCTAATTTAAATACCCTCTTACCATAAGTAAAATTGATCGAACGGACATAATTTACAATCGTACTCTCTCCAATAAAAATTAAATTAAAAAAAACCTATTTACTTCATTTTAACAACTCTATTAGTTACTTTAGAATTGGGTGAACCATACGAACCGTATCACAAGAACCTGACCGACCATCTAACTCAAACATTGAGTTTTCACTCATCACAATCACAGGTAGCTTTCGCACACACTTCACCTTCTTTTCGTGCGGAAACTGTTCCCGTTAGTCTCTTCTTCACTCCCGTTTCTCAACCAACACTCACTCTTCCAACGCGATCACACCCTTCAACCAAACCCACCATCAATCAACACATTCCTCAGGTATTCTACATTTCCTTTTCACACTCTTCTCTCATACGGGTCTTCATTTTCTTCAATCAATTTTCTGTCTTTCATTTTTGTTACCTTCGCATTTAACGGATTTTTTAATTTTCACAAATAGGTCATTCCCGTTTTACGTTAATGGTTCCGAAAATTATTCCTTTTCGTTTAGAAATGATCAGACATTGTGGGTGGTTTCGGTGAAAGTTTTGTGATTGTGAGATAGTGGTTTGAAGTGAAGTGAGTTTGTGAATTTGTTTCTGAAGTTTTTGTTTTTTTGTTGTTGTTAAAGTTTGAATTTTTCAATGTTTATGTTGTTTGATCCAGTTTCTATCAAATGGGGATGTTTGATTTGTACAATAGGTTGGTTTAGGGTTTAGATTTGAGATTTTTTGTTTCTTTTTGGGATCTAGGGTAATGTAATGAGGCCAGTTTGGTGGTACAATTAAGCTTTTTGATTCTTGTGTTTTTATTGAAATGTGGATTTTGTACATATATCTATCACTGTAGCACCGACATCTCTGAAAAAGGCATGTCACCGAGACGACATCGACACTTGTGATTACGTTCAATTTATTCAATTTCTCTAATTATTACCAATATCAGTGTTGTGTCCGGTGCGTGTGCTTCATAAGTTCATATATCTGATAAAATGAGGTTGATCTCACTTCATTATGAGAATAAGTATTGCTTTGTTGTCTTTTTCTATGATGCCTTTTTATTTTAATTGAGTTACATAACTTGGATTATTTTTTTCAATGTCTATGTTGATTGATTCAGTTTCTGTGAATGATGAGCGCAAATGGGTTTTGTTCGGTTTTTACCATTGATCGGTTTATGGTTTGATTTGAGATTTTTTGAAATGTTGGTATTGATTGATTCATATATGATAAAGTTAGGTTGATTTCACTTCATTATGAGAATGAGCTCTGCTTTGTTGAGTTTTCTGTGTTTCCTTTTATTTTACTTTTCTGAGTTACATAACTTGGATTGTTTCTCCCTGAGTTCCTCTAAGAAATCCCTCTCACAAGGAGAAGCTGGATCGTAAGATCTTACGTGCTAAGGATGCCTGAGAGTGCTACGATTAGAGAGTTCGTTTTCCTCGTCGATGTGGTCAAGATCGAGCTTTTTGAAGCATGATCGTTAAAAAATGTGTTGGGTCTTTTTTTTGGGTTTGTATTGTGATTTTCATGTTTTTGTGTACGTGTGTTTATATATGTATGAAATTACCCTTTTTCCCTCCAGTAGGATCTTACTGCCGTGCTAGCGATTCGAGTTCTACGATCGTTCACAAGGCGACCGATCCAACTTAAGATCTCGTGCTTGTCTACGTTAGGCGACAGTGATTGGTAGAATATGGACGAAGACTAAAATCTTCCGTGTAGACGACCTATGGGGCTGCCACACCATTCCACCAAGGCTGCCATTTAATAACAATGGGGAACAACCACGAGTTATTTTATTTTATTTATTTTGATTTGTTTTTCGTTATGTGAGATTATTTATCAATTTGTGATTGGTTAACCAATAGTTCATCAATATGATGGGTCTTACAAGTATGGATATTGCACTGAATTTGTATGCAAAATTGGTTATAGATTGTATAAATAAGCCCTTGGTATGTGCTAAGCACTTACGATACGAGCACTTAGTTAAACTGATTATCCAAACGGCGCTCAAGTCTTTGAACAACAATGAACACCTAGTTGCTACAAATTTTAAGAGTTTCTAAATGCTCTAAAGTTTCGAATATTAATCAATTGGTTCTTCACAGATGGCCTTGCAAACAGCTACTCCTCCAACTGCTCCGAGTGCCGAAATGGTTGGTAATGCATTTGTTGAGCAGTATTATCACATTCTTCACCAATCTCCAGAATTGGTCTATCGGTTTTACCAGGAGTCTAGCGTGATAAGCCGTCCTGATTCCAAGGGTGTGATGACATCAGTTACAACCATGAAAGTAAGTTTGTCAATTCAAAACTCGTAACTCTAATATTTTAATCCACATATTCATTGCCGATCTCGTATTCTAAGGTGAATCGTCATCTTTTTATGGTGCAGGGTATTAACGAGAAGATTCTTTCGCTAAATTTCAAGGAATTTAAAGCAGAGATAAAGACCGCAGATGCTCAAAAGTCGCACAATGAAGGAGTGACGGTGCTGGTAACTGGATGTTTGACTGGGAAGGATAACTTGCGAAGAAAATTCGCGCAGTCGTTCTTTCTTGCTCCACAAGAGATCGGCTTTTTTGTTCTGAATGATGTTTTTAGGTATGTGGAAGACCGCGAACCTTCAGAACTGCATCCAGTTAACGAAAATCATGATGCTATCGCTGTTACTGTAACCACCGAACCAGGCAAGATTAACACGAAAGAAATGTGTCTTCTGTGATGAAATTGTTCAGGAGTTTTATTCATGCTATTAACGTTTCTATACAGAGCCAATTCACGTTGCTGATCCACCTCCACCGGACCCTGCGAATTCTCACGTGATAGAGCGGCGAGTTGTTGCTGAGAATGCTTACGAGCCTTCTAACCATCATGAGACAAAGATAGTTGCTGAGAATGAAGACATCGTAGAGGCTGATTTTCAATCGAATGAGAATGATGATTCCCAGGAAGCTTCATCTCTAGAGGATGCTCCGAAGAAGTCTTATGCGTCGATTGTCAGTATTGTTATATATCTTTCACTTGCAAGCATTGTTCTTATTTAAGCTTTGAAGCTTATTGGTTTCTTTGCAGGTTAAAGTCCAAAAAGGGAATTTGGTATCGGCTAAAGTGTATGTGCCGACTAAGAATGCGAAGAAGGCGGCTAACAGAACTGAGAGTCAAGTAGTTGAGGCAATTGAATCCGTTGCGGTGGCTGAAGCAGTGCCGGATAGTGTTGGCAACCCTGAAAGTAATGATAGTTATGAGCAAGGTACATGTTTAAGCTTGTGTTGGCAACCCTGAAAGTAATGATAGTGTTGGGTCTTGGGGTCACTAGCTATAAGCACAGACTTTGACATGAACATCTGGACACGATACTGACACTCCGACACCAATAATGTCAAAAACATAGGACACTGACACCGCTACTTATATTATAGTATTTGATTTTCATTAGCCATCTATTATTAACTTTATAAAAGAAAATTCTAATCAAAATTAGTATTTGATTTTCATTAGCCATCTATTATTAACTTTATAAAAAAAACTTCTAATCAAAATTGTAAGTGTTCATTGATAACATTGCTTCAATTCGTGTTTAACCTTTTTAGATGAGTGAGATTTGTCCAAAAATGTATAAGGAGTGTCGAAGAAAAGAAAAAAAAACAATTTTCTTTAGGAACACTTGACTGACTTTTCCGACACGTGTTGTATGAGTGTCATTCTAGTGTCGGACACCGCGACACGCTTACTCCTAAAGGTGTCCTCACTTCATAGGTCACTAGGGCCAGGGAAAATCCCGAGGCTTAGACAATGCTTACAGAGATATTTGCATATTGTCTACTAACAAGGTCCTTATGTCGGAAGCGGAATTCAAACTCAGGTCCTCTTGGGATCTGAGCCGATTCCTTATCGACTGAACCAACCTACATTGGTTGGGGCTTTGGTTGTTTTTCAAAGTTGAAAAAAAAAAGAATTTTAATGCAACACTTGGTTTAACTACGTGAAACTCGACGAAAATATTCTGCTTAAACATATGTCTACTTCTAAAGAACACGTTCTGTCTTTAACAGTTGAAGGACACTCCATTTACGTTAGAAATTTGCCGTTAAATATGACGGTTGCTCAGTTGGAAGAGGAGTTCAAGAAATTTGGACCAATCAAGCAGGGAGGCATCCAAGTCAGAAACAATAAGGTAACTATGGTGTCGATGAATCATTCAAATTACGCGTTATGTTGTTTCTTCAATTCTAATAAAGTTTTTCTCGAACTGTTTCTCTGTCTTTGCAGCAGCAGGGGTACTGTTTCGGCTTTGTCGAATACCTATCACTAAATTCAATGACTAATGCAATCCAGGTATGGTGGTTTTCTTCGGTAAATACTTTAGATTCTGATGATTTTTCAAGGGTACAATGGTCATTTTAGAATATTTGAGCGACGTCTTTCAATTTCCACGTCTTTTCTTTCATCTTCTCATCGCTTGCTCTTCTTTTGTCACCAAGCGTGTTCTTTTTCGTTCTGTTTTTTTCAGGCTTCACCTATTGCAATCGGGGGACGTCAAGCTGTTGTCGAGATAAAGAGAACCACTACCCGAGGTAATTATCGATAAAATTTATCTGATGATTCACTTCATATACATTGACAGTATAATCATTTTATCATAATCGTCATATCTTTATAAATGTATGATTGGTTATGCATGATTGGTTGTGAATTTCGTTATATCAGTTGGTGGCGGCGGTATTGGAAGACCTAGGATTCCATCAAGAAGCGGCTTCCGAAACGATTCATTCAGGGGTCGTGGAAACTTCGGCGGTGGTCGAGGCTATGGTCGAAACAACGACTACGGAACCCGAGGTGAGTTTTCTATCCGTGGCCGTGGTCCACGCGGCCATGAAGAAAATTACCATCGAGGAAGAGGTAGAGGCGCGGACCGGTCTAGTGTTTTTAAACAAAACGTCGTCGCAACCGAATGATTTTTCCGACAACTTTGTAAGGCCTTTTTTGGTAGGATACAAACATGGAAAAGTTCAAAATTTTCATGCCAACTTCAAATTTCACAGATTTCTCAGTTACTTTTCACTGCATTTGCACAGTTTGTAGTGTTTCTAGTTGTTATTTGCAATGATCAGAAATAGGTTATAAACTCTTATGAAGTTCAATGTTTGTATTTTGATTTTAGATTAACTTTTGTTTGTTTATTTTTTTATTTTTTCTATGATCCAATATTTTGAAATTGAGATTATTTATTTTAAACGGGATTATTGTTCATTTAATTATATTTTTGATTTGTGTGTAAAATTTGAATTAACTAATTTTTCATGTTTGTTACGGATAAGTTTGTTGGAAAAAAATAAGCATTGACAAGTATATCTGATCGTCCAATTACGATCGGATGGTTCAAATTTAAAATAGGTAGTTTTGGAAAAGTTAAAGCTCTTTTGTGTTTCTCGTATGATCAAGATCAATCGGTTAATATCATTTTGACAGTGTTGGAATTGACAATTATAATATAGTACAATGAATTTTAGTTTTGTTTATATGTAAGATATTCTAAAAATTATTTTAATAAAATGAAATTTATGTTAAATATAATAACTATTTTGATTAGCTTTGGAAGAAAATCAATTTTAAAAGAAGGGAGAAAATATAAAAATTGATAGTGTATGGGTGTTTGCAATTATATTAATAAAAAATATTTAATATGTATAATTTTCAACTTGAATATTTTTTCAACTATAGTTCATATTTTTTTCTTCCCAAAAAGTCTCTTAATAAGTAACTCTAAATTATTTGTAAAATATGATTTGTGTATATCAAGCAAATGGATTCTAAATTTCACAATGAGTATATCTATTTAGCCCAATTCTCTTTTATGGTGGATTTTGCCTTTATTCTTATGGTTTTTTCTTTTCCCACCCTCTCAAACCTGTCATTAATGATTGAAATTTACAAAATAAATACTTTATAAGTTCTAGTATGTGGAATGTATTCTTAGACTTTTGAATTCTATAATTTAAAATTGTTGAAAATATGAAGAAATACCAAAGAGATTCAACATGTTTCATATCAAACATTAATAATAAATTGTGAATAATTTAAAATATCAATTAAATACAAAATTATATACTAGAAAAACTATTTACTTTTTCACCATGCTCAACGAAGTACGTGACAATCTCATCAAACATCCTGATATGATTTAAGCTTGAACATATTGCACTAGCGTACCCGACCAAGGTATCATCTAATTTGGTTGTTTCCTTGGTACTATACTGACCAAATTTTAAGAACATGAATATTACATTATTTTCCTTTTGAAGTTACATATTCATGAATTGAACACGTCTATCATTGTTGATATACAAGCCACGATACTTAGATCACCTTTTTGTTGCGATGGTTGAAGCATATATTCATTTGGTTTAGTTGATGCTTCAATTCAATTAATACAACATTGATGTTAATCATGAACAAATGGGAAAAAGTCCCTTTGCTAAACTGCAGTTAAGTTAAAGTTCATTATCCATCATTGTTGATATACAAGCCACGATACTTAGATCACCTTTTTGTTGCGATGGTTGAAGCATATATTCATTTGGTTTAGTTGATGCTTCAATTCAATTAATACAACATTAATGTTAATCATGAACAAATGGGGAAAAGTCCCTTTGCTAAACTGCAGTTAAGCTAAAGTTCATTATCCATCATTGTTGATATACAAGCCACGATACTTAGATCACCTTTTTGTTGCGATGGTTGAAGCATATATTCATTTGGTTTAGTTGATGCTTCAATTCAATTAATACAACATTGATGTTAATCATGAACAAATGGGGAAAAGTCCCTTTGCTAAACTGCAGTTAAGTTAAAGTTCATTATCCATCATTGTTGATATACAAGCCACGATACTTAGATCACCTTTTTGTTGCGATGGTTGAAGCATATATTCATTTGGTTTAGTTGATGCTTCAATTCAATTAATACAACATTGATGTTAATCATGAACAAATGGGGAAAAGTCTCTTTGCTAAACTGCAGTTAAGTTAAAGTTCATTATCCATCATTGTTGATATACAAGCCACGATACTTAGATCACCTTTTTGTTGCGATGGTTGAAGCATATATTCATTTGGTTTAGTTGATGCTTCAATTCAATTAATACAACATTGATGTTAATCATGAACAAATGGGGAAAAGTCCCTTTGCTAAATTGCAGTTAAGTTAAAGTTCATTATCCATCATTGTTGATATACAAGCCACGATACATAGATCACCTTTTTGTTGCGATGGTTGAAGCATATATTCATTTGGTTTAGTTGATGCTTCAATTCAATTAATACAACATTGATGTTAATCATGAACAAATGGGGAAAAGTCCCTTTGCTAAACTGTAGTTAAGTTAAAGTTCATTATCCATCATTGTTGATATACAAGCCACGATACTTAGATCACCTTTTTGTTGCGATGGTTGAAGCATATATTCATTTGGTTTAGTTGATGCTTCAATTCAATTAATACAACATTGATGTTAATCATGAACAAATGGGGAAAAGTCCCTTTGCTAAACTGCAGTTAAGTTAAAGTTCATTATCCATCATTGTTGATATACAAGCCACGATACTTAGATCACCTTTTTGTTGCGATGGTTGAAGCATATATTCATTTGGTTTAGTTGATGCTTCCATTCAATTAATACAACATTGATGTTAATCATGAACAAATGGGGAAAAGTCCCTTTGCTAAACTGCAGTTAAGTTAAAGTTCATTATCCATCATTGTTGATATACAAGCCACGATACTTAGATCACCTTTTTGTTGTGATGGTTGAAGCATATATTCATTTGGTTTAGTTGATGCTTCAATTCAATTAATACAACATTGATGTTAATCATGAACAAATGGGGAAAAGTCCCTTTGCTAAACTGCAGTTAAGCTAAAGTTCATTATCCATCATTGTTGATATACAAGCCACGATACTTAGATCACCTTTTTGTTGCGATGGTTGAAGCATATATTCATTTGGTTTAGTTGATGCTTCAATTCAATTAATACAACATTGATGTTAATCATGAACAAATGGGGAAAAGTCCCTTTGCTAAACTGTAGTTAAGTTAAAGTTCATTATCCATCATTGTTGATATACAAGCCACGATACTTAGATCACCTTTTTGTTGCGATGGTTGAAGCATATATTCATTTGGTTTAGTTGATGCTTCAATTCAATTAATACAACATTGATGTTAATCATGAACAAATGGGGAAAAGTCCCTTTGCTAAACTGCAGTTAAGTTAAAGTTCATTATCCATCATTGTTGATATACAAGCCACGATACTTAGATCACCTTTTTGTTGCGATGGTTGAAGCATATATTCATTTGGTTTAGTTGATGCTTCCATTCAATTAATACAACATTGATGTTAATCATGAACAAATGGGGAAAAGTCCCTTTGCTAAACTGCAGTTAAGTTAAAGTTCATTATCCATCATTGTTGATATACAAGCCACGATACTTAGATCACCTTTTTGTTGTGATGGTTGAAGCATATATTCATTTGGTTTAGTTGATGCTTCAATTCAATTAATACAACATTGATGTTAATCATGAACAAATGGGGAAAAGTCCCTTTGCTAAACTGCAGTTAAGCTAAAGTTCATTATCCATCATTGTTGATATACAAGCCACGATACTTAGATCACCTTTTTGTTGCGATGGTTGAAGCATATATTCATTTGGTTTAGTTGATGCTTCAATTCAATTAATACAACATTGATGTTAATCATGAACAAATGGGGAAAAGTCCCTTTGCTAAACTGTAGTTAAGTTAAAGTTCATTATCCATCATTGTTGATATACAAGCCACGATACTTAGATCACCTTTTTGTTGCGATGGTTGAAGCATATATTCATTTGGTTTAGTTGATGCTTCAATTCAATTAATACAACATTGATGTTAATCATGAACAAATGGGGAAAAGTCCCTTTGCTAAACTGCAGTTAAGTTAAAGTTCATTATCCATCATTGTTGATATACAAGCCACGATACTTAGATCACCTTTTTGTTGCGATGGTTGAAGCATATATTCATTTGGTTTAGTTGATGCTTCCATTCAATTAATACAACATTGATGTTAATCATGAACAAATGGGGAAAAGTCCCTTTGCTAAACTGCAGTTAAGTTAAAGTTCATTATCCATCATTGTTGATATACAAGCCACGATACTTAGATCACCTTTTTGTTGTGATGGTTGAAGCATATATTCATTTGGTTTAGTTGATGCTTCAATTCAATTAATACAACATTGATGTTAATCATGAACAAATGGGGAAAAGTCCCTTTGCTAAACTGCAGTTAAGCTAAAGTTCATTATCCATCATTGTTGATATACAAGCCACGATACTTAGATCACCTTTTTGTTGCGATGGTTGAAGCATATATTCATTTGGCTTAGTTGATGCTTCAATTCAATTAATACAACATTGATGTTAATCATGAACAAATGGGGAAAAGTCCCTTTGCTAAACTGCAGTTAAGTTAAAGTTCATTATCCATCATTGTTGATATACAAGCCACGATACTTAGATCACCTTTTTGTTGCGATGGTTGAAGCATATATTCATTTGGTTTAGTTGATGCTTCAATTCAATTAATACAACATTGATGTTAATCATGAACAAATGGGGAAAAGTCCCTTTGCTAAATTGCAGTTAAGTTAAAGTTCATTATCCATCATTGTTGATATACAAGCCACGATACATAGATCACCTTTTTGTTGCGATGGTTGAAGCATATATTCATTTGGTTTAGTTGATGCTTCAATTCAATTAATACAACATTGATGTTAATCATGAACAAATGGGGAAAAGTCCCTTTGCTAAACTGTAGTTAAGTTAAAGTTCATTATCCATCATTGTTGATATACAAGCCACGATACTTAGATCACCTTTTTGTTGCGATGGTTGAAGCATATAT